TCTACGATAATCGGAAGCGCGGATCGGAAGTCATACATTTTATTATTTACGTTATCATAAATGTATAACACAGGACAACAAAATTGAACTTTTTTTTGTTTCATGAAGTTTCTCTACTGTTGTTTACTAATTTGGGTGTGCTGATTTCGATTCTACTCAGATTTTTTGTAGCAGCTCTAGTTAGTGAGATACAGGTACAATCTCAAATTTATATAAGTAGTCGATAATTTCTATCAATTGCGGTGTAATTAAAATTTTGTACTGAAGGTTCTCATTATGTCTACCTCAAAAAGGAAGTGGTTAAACAGCCTTGATTGTTTTTGTGTAACATGTGTCGATTTCGTAAAAAAAGCATACTTAGACTACTTTAGGTATCCATTGCCGACAAACACCAAGCCCTGGATACCTTGTTTGGTATGTTAAAATTGTGTTGAGTCGTTGCGATTGTGGACAAAAAAAGACCCACTTTTAAGTACAAAACTCCTATGATTTGGCGTGAACCCTCTAATCATCACGATGACTGTTATATCTGTGTTACAAAAATCATAGGAATAAACAATAAAAATTGCTCAAAGTGGATATATCCCGAATTGAAATCTGCAATAAAACCAGTCTTGAATACTAGTGACACACTAGAACCACGGCAACCCTGTACGTCTTCAGAAAATTCAGCAGGGTGCAGCCAACAAACCATTAACGACAAAGATTGTGGCGACAGTGATTTTGTTTGTTCCGGTTATAATCCCCGACCACTGAATCAAGATGATTTAAATGACTTGATCAGGAACCTTAGACTGTCTAAAACTGCATCAAAAACCTTGTCAATCCATAGCTGAAAAACTAGAGCTGCTACATAAAAACGTCAATTATTTTTGAAATTGGCGTAAGAAAACTATTCAGATTCATGTAAAAAATATGATACAAAAAATATGTTGTTTTCCTGTAAATAAAAAAATACTATTGAAAGAAATGCTATAAAAAATTCTTTGATTCAATATACCTAATAAAAAAGGAGGTTATATGTTTGTCGGCGATGTATTTTTTTTTAATATATATTTTCGATATTTTCGCCAATTATTGACCGTTTCTCAAAATTCACCTTTTATTCAACAACTTAATGGACCGAAGTGGTCCCATTTAATCGAAATCGAATCAGTAATACAATACGCAACAAAATTCGCTTTTCACCATCAATCACCTAAATATTTAGATGTTATGCATTGTATTCCATGTATCTCAGCTGAAAAAACAACACTTCAAAAACACTTCAAAAAGTGGCATTCGGTAAATTTTGAATGAGAAAGTATTTAATAAAAATACATGAGAAATCATCCCGAAATCAAATTAGATGTTGTTACGGTACGTTCTTGATTTCTCCATGACAGCCCTTCCAGTTTTTTTTTTCATGATTAAAAGTAAATTAGTTTTCAAAACTTAATGAACAACTCATATTCTATTTGCACTTTTTCGTATTTGTATTGATATCTAAGTTTCGAACTTTTCAAATTTCAGTTTATTTATATGTTAGTTAAAAGGAACGGAAATGACTTTCTTTAGTCCATTCGTTTCCTGCAAAAATCAACTTTTGCTAGAGTCGCCATCTAGTGGAGATGCTTTTTAGTGCTTTCGTTTTTTTTTAAATACTTCTTCATTGTGAACCAATTTCTATCAAACTAGCTGTTTCCCCGCAACTTCGCCTGCGTAAATAATATGTCCATCGCGTATTTTGAAGCTTATTCCCGTAGATGAAAGACTTATAAATCGGTCTCATAGTTTCGGAGTCAATCTAATGCAAACAAAAAGCAATCAGTTCTTTCCACTTTATAATATGAGTACAAAATTATGTCGAGGAAATAAACAAAATCTCTTTTCTAAGACTTTTTGATATTATTATTTATCTATATCTATACTAATATTATAACGAAGAAATATTTATTTGCCTCCGAAACCGATTGAGGGACCGATTTAAAAAAAATCTTTCACCTACGGAAAGTTACATTATATGCGCTGAACATAGGAACTTTAATGGGAGTGGAAGTTTGTATAGGGAATGAAGCCGATACCATAGTAACGATTGTAAACGAAATTTTTTTTTTTTCTGGTAGTGTTCAATATACCGTTACCGATAATCACACTTTTAAGCTTATTATATTTATGATATTGTTTAAAATAATTTAAAAAAAAAATGTTTTATAGCCATTATCACATGACCGCAAACAGCACGTGACTTCACACCCCTCTCACTCATACCAGCCCTGCAATTCTGTAAAAATCCAGATCCGAATTCGAATTCACTCAGGTGTTCGAATTCACTTTAAAAAGCGGCATCCGCTCAACAATGAATTGGTAATAAAGTTTCGCAGCATAAGTGAAGTGAGTTATGAAATTACATAGGAATAGAATATCTGAGACACGTATATTCAATCAATTTTTTTTTGTATTTTTATACAAAAAATTGAATCAATAGAAAATCTAAACTAAATTATTTTCACAGAATCGCAGGGCAGAACAGAATAACAGCTTACATACATAGAACGATATTAGTTTTAGAGGAGCGTGGCGTTATAGAGACACCGTGAGGGCGCTTGTGCACTACACTGAATTTTCATGTCCGGCGGTCCGATTTTTACAGGTCCGATATGTCAGGCCATATGTAGGTAATGCGCGCTTGGGCACTGCCAGGAATTTTACCGTCCGGAATTTTACTTTTCTCTATCCCGGACCGGTTTTTTCAGGTCCGTGATGGCGGCAATGAAAAACGTGTTTACGCTTGTGCACTGCTGTGTCCGAGATCCGAAAAATTCATAAGGAATAGGCTTGGGAAAAAATAATCGATTTGAATCGATATTTATTTCGGCAATATTGTTAATTTCCAATAAACTTATAATCGATATTTATTGTTGATTATAAAATGGTATATTTTATATGATGATTTAATATAGTTGGTATATATCACTGCATAAGCTTTGGCAAACTCGGTATAGTTCTAATTTGATCAGCGTATGGTTCTAGTATCGATACTTAGCTAGATTTTAGAATCGTATTTAAAGTATCGATAACTTAAGGTAAGATAAATAAGTGTTGTTACGCTTAGACGCCTAAATAACTGAACCCATGTAAATGGAAATTAATTAAGTAAATAGACTTAACTTTAAGAAAGGTCATAGGCTACATTTTATCGCGAAAAATAGGGATGAAAGTTTGCCTAGAAATTTGTCATTATCAATTTTTTTTAGACAATTGATAAGTATAGATAAATATTTGACAACAGAAGTAATAATAAAGAATAAACAGAAGATTAACAAAAGTAATTAAGTGACACTCAATATCTTTTTCGCATTTAATAAAATTTTAAATGTATGTTTGTGCCATTAAAAAAAAAAAAAAAAAAAGTATTCTAAGGGGATTATATTTCTGCTCAAAGTAACTACACCACGCGTATAAAATGCCTATATAATACAGTCAACTGATCTCGTAAAGTTCATTTAGTATAATAATTCTCCGCTAACACTGCACTAATTTCGATTTGTTTACAAAATGACGCCACCGATTGGTCTATCTCTGTAATCGCTGAAAGTTGTTTTTACAAAACTTCGAAAAAAAAATAACACGTTTAAAAATTTAAACATCAAGTACTAGACCATTATCAGTAATTTTATTCTAATGTCACAGATATTTTTAGCTATTGTATGTGAATAATGCTGTTCCTAAATTAGTAAGGGTATAAGATTTTACATCTGATAGTAGTCATCCGATAGTAGTAAAAAAAATACTTTCGTCTTGCCATAATTTATTATGGTTTATGTAAAACGATCAGATCATTATTTAGGCACCTTTCTACGTCTTCGAAAGGAATTACCGACGTTCCAAAAATCTCATCGTACCTAGCGTAAGTGACGTGTAGTTTCAAAGAGAGCTGCCCTACACTGCGCCGCTCCGATCAGGAAAAAAACGGACAAGTGCACAAGCTACTCATCCGAGTTTTTCATGTCATTCCGGACCGGAAAAAATCGGACCGCCGGACCTGAAAATTCAGTGTAGTGCACAAGCGCCCTGACAGAAGATGGCGATACCGCGGGAAATTTTGAAAATTTAATTTATTTTTATTTTTTTAACTTATTTTGGATTTTAAATTATATGAATGATAATTTATTTAAATATTTTTTTATTTTTCAAGTTTATCTATAAAATAAAATAAAAGCCAATAATCTAAGTCTAAAGATGAGACAAAAAATCCAACTGAAACAAGTACAAGACTCGCGCATGAAGGGTTCCAAAACTTTTTATATACCAAAAACGCAAAAAAATCACTCTTGTTACTCTTGTTCTGATTTTAGTACAGGTACTTCTTCTTTTTAATTAATGGCTTATCTGCGCATTTCGCACTAAATTTTTACATATAAAATGAAAATGAAATAAATGAATGGATGTATTTTCAGGAACTGACATTTACAGGTACTTATTATAGCGGCAATAATATTGTAAAAATGTCAACTGTCTTAACTATCACGGTTCTTGTTATACATCCTGGTGACAGATGGACTGACAGACAGACATACGGATGGACAGCGGACTCTTAGTAATGAGGTCTCGTATGGGTACGGAACCCTAAAAATTATATAATTATAAGGATAAAAGATAATCCAAAATTACAAGTATATTCAAATTGCATGGATCATTGACCTTTGTCCCCATTGTCGACAAAACGTCGAGTAATATGTTTATTAATTAGTAGGTAAGTATCAATATAATACAGGTAAGAATAATATACTAGTATGAATACATATATATTTAATATCTGTGTAACAATTTTTCACTGGAAGTCATTATTATTTTGTATAGCGGCATTTCTATGCTATGATAAAAGTTTATTTTTTTTAACAGAAATTGGAGAAATTATGTATAAATATAGTTATAAAACATTTGTAGATATTAGTTACGTGTAAAAAATACACTAAAATCACTTAATAATAAATATTATAAAGTGAAAGCGTACTTACAAGCCCAGTTGCCTTTCGATTTGAAGTCAACTTTGTTGATGGCAGGTCCAATAGCATACACATAAACAGCACGAAACAGACTTTTGAGTATCACAAACAATCCTATAACTATTAGAACTATTGAGACATTTTCTAATGGCGTTAATGCCATTTTTACAACAGAGAAAGTAATTATTTTTTTAGGTTATGTCGTCCGGAGAGAGCACCATTCACCGCTTGACACAAATATCGCATGCGCACTGACGACCGAAGAAAGTAACGCATGCGCAGTGAGCGGTCACCGAATACAGAATGAGTGAGGTTGATAGTTATCAAACACGGTTCGTGAATAGAGTGAGACGTTCGTATTGCCGTTCTTGTCATCGTTGATAACATGTTGATAAGGGCCAAGGTCGGGGTATACGGAACAAAATATTGGAATATAACGAGCCAATCAATGAATAAAACAAAATATATTACACAGCAGCATTATTACAGCATTATTTTAATGTGGTTATCTATAAAACATAAGCTAATTACAAGTTTTCGCATATTACAAACAATCTGTAAAAATTAAAGTTACGTTAGTCAATTTTTTAATTAACTAATAACATCTGTGTGCAGATAGGAATACACTGTTAAGATATTAGTTAAAACACCGTCGTTCTTAAATTAAACTAAAGATATATTCAGCGATGATTTCAGTATAGGACGGTACTTTCACGGTAAGAACTTAATACATTCTTCATAATATGTCTTCTCTTGATAACTTTATAGTGAAAAGGGCGAATACACTATCGTAATTGAACTCAAATCACTAATTCTATAATTTATTGCTACTCCTAAACTTCGTACTTGAAAAGGTAGTGCGAAGCAAAATCCCAAAAGTTGTCGCCGTGCTCTAAATATTTGTTTTTGGTTTAAGGTATTTTTTTATACTAAGTAATCGAGTTAACTTCTCGTGTTCGACGACAACGTACTTTTGCATGGATTTTCGAATATTTTACCGTAAGGATATTAAGTTTCCTAAATCTGTAAAACATACAAATCTGTAAAAAATACCGCTTGGTAAGTTTGTTTGATCTTATAATATTTGTTATGGTGGTAAAAATTATATATTAGAATATTTCTATCGTAAAATTAAACATATAAAAATTATTTCATCGAATTATATTTGAACTGTCAGCAGCGCATTCTGTCGGTAGGCGTACACTGATGATTTTGTCATCATAACACACTCGTTACTTATTGTTTCTATCACCGTCTCCTATGATTTGTACTGATGTGACCTAATTGTCATATGTCCAAGTGTGCGCGCCACAACGAGGGCTAGACAGAAAGTTACGGTGAAAAGTCACTAGAGCGCGCGTAAACTTAAAATGTCGTTGGGTCAATTAGCGGCTTGGTGTAATTACCTATTTAAAATACGAAAATAGAATTGTTGCATCCGCTTCCTAAATTTTAAAAAAACAAATAAAATAACATATTGGCTGATGTTTATTAACCGTAACAGTAATAGAAAAACAAATAAAAATAAATAAAGAAAACGTATTATAAAAAAAACTGTTATTGAATAAAGAAGTCTTGAAAATGAGAAGAGAAGTAAATCTTCCATAAATGTCAAAAAAAGGAATTCAACAAATGAGGAAGTCAAGTAAAATCCCGAGTACAACTGACTACAAAAGACAAGATAATTCTCATATGACTGTTTCGCTATTTTAAGAAAAAACACTTTATTCAGCAACACAAAAGAACCGAGACAATTATAGTGAAAGGTAGAATAAACGTGAATACAGTTTTAACCTCGACATTCCTGCAACAATTATGCGATCTCAATACACATCCGTAAATAATATGCCTCACAAACTTACAGAGGGTTTGGGAGTCACTAGCGAATCCCTACAAGAAATAAAAGATTAATATATGTTAATGGAACGGATTAAAAAATTAAAATGAGTAAATTATATAATCTACGAGTGAGTATATATGTTACAGCAAAAGGTTATTCACTCACCCACCACGAAAAATAAACTAGGAGTTTGAAAATATGCATTTTAACCGTTATAAGTTGGTTTCTCTCTACTCCCATAAACCCTAAAGTGGAGTAAAAGTACCTCGTAATAATTGGTAATTTTATCAGCCTGTATCTGTTGTGTATCTTTATTGTTACATCTCGGGTTTTGCGGTTTCTTTGTTGTTTCAGATAACCCATAGGCTTTACTACTTAGCCTGAAATCAACAAATATATGTGATGTTGTTTAATATATATTTATTTCTTTTTTTTTAATCAACAATTTTATTTCTCGAGTTTTTGAGATTGAACTCATTTACTCGTCTGTTTTGTTGAATCGTGATCTTTAACCTTTTTTATTGTAAATTAGAATATTAAAATACATTACGCAAATAATGCTCTTTTTAAATACATCTTCTGTTAATGACCGTATTATTATATTCTTACGTTATGTCTGTTTCTCGTGCTGGTATACAGAGTAGTATTATAATTTAAAATTATGTACTAAGTACAAGTAATATTAATGAAATTCTTAAACTCACATGGCTGTTGTAAACCGATTATTAATTTTATCCAAATATTCATAATAAGTCTTTCATAATCGATTCTTTATATCGTTCAATAATAAAACTTAGTTTTAAATAGCTAGTTACAGATAATGTTACATACTTCTAAGTTATTAAGGCACTTGAGTGTATCGAAAGAAATATGTTTGTATTATAAAACAAATAATAAAAAAGAGCTGAGGTCCGCAAATATTATGCTTCATTTACGGTTCTGTTTAAGGGATTTGACCTTGTAAATCATCATTGGTTAAAAACAATATTAACAAGTTACGCTGACACTACCTACTACACTAAATTTAATTCTATGATTTTAATTTTGAATGATCTGTGTTTTTTTCTTTTTCTGCGTAATGTATATAGTTGAAAATGTTATCTGTGCAATAATAACTGATCGCCAGTATCGAATTTTCCCCTACATAAATATTTAAAAATATGCATATTACTTACAGATATTTTAAGGCCAACGTACTACAAAATAGTAGTTGGTGTCTACTTTTTTGCGACAAAATAGTACTTACACTGTTATACTAAAACGGCAGTGCCATTCTGTTAATAATACAGAGTAGAACACAGTGCTGCCAAAACTTTAGAAGTTCGATCAGATAAAATTAAGTTCAAAAGTTAATAAACAGTGTATTCGACTCAACCTTCGATGCTGCGACAGCGCTGTATTCGATGATACGTTCGACGCTGTATGTTTACAAATATCAAAAGCAGAAAACATCCTTTTCGTGTCATTTTTGGGTCCCTTATGAAAACAATCAATTTTGGAAATTTGTTTTCCAACTCTATTATCGATAAGATGAAATAGATCAATTATATTAATATTTCAGCTTCAAAATCTCGACTACGTATAACAAATCACGAATTATATAGTCAATATTTAAACAAAACGAGTCTTCAAAGATCCAAAATGACCTTTTTAAATATTTTGGATCAATTCTAGAATCAGTGATGACCTGTTTATATGTTGCAAACCTGTTATAAATGTTGTTTTTATTATAATATATATAAATAATAAATTGAATTAACGTAATAAAGGGCGTAGTTTATAATTTTTTTTTGGTAAAGGGGATTAAAGTAAAATATTGATATCGCATTGGACATGAACAAACTTACCTTAATAAACTCAAATAGATTTATATTTTATTTAATTAAACCAATTATGACTCAAAACCACTACGATGATGGTTTTTAGTTACTTTGAATTGCTAATCTGATTTATGAAAATCACATTAGCAATTTAAAAGCTACAAGTACTTTACCAGACAAAGCTTACATCTATAAAGCCTGTAAATATAATTATCGAATTTATTATTAGTTTTTTTTAATTGCTAGAGTTTATAACCCATTTTCTTTTTTTTTAGAGGAAATTATGTTATTTTGATGTAAACTTAAAAACTTAAAAATCATAGAAAAGCAGACCCAAAAGATTATCGATTAAGACTAGGTTCTTTGAATACTTTCTGAAAGTCGCCTGAAAAGTTTCTAACCTCAACCATGAGCGTGGTAACATTTGTAATTAAAAACAAGGATGTACGAACATTTACGTAAATCATATTAATCTCGTCGCTTTACATTAAATGTGCCTATATCTTAAATGGTATTTACTTAAATTACATACTGCAATTACTTATGCCATTTGGTGTTGTCTAATATTTATTTATTTTATTCATTAAGTAAGTAGGTAATATCTCGGAGATAACATGTTTTAAAAAGTTTGTTTGATGAAAATTCATAACTGTAGTTTATACAAAAAAATTAAAGGTTGTTATTTAACCCGGCGCCAATGACGCTGGGTCATAATGACCCAAGGCAATTTTAAAGAGATATATCTTATTTATGCCTCAGTCGTATGATTTGAGAGTTTGTGTAGATATGGCCCCCATCTATTGGTGCCCTTAGTGTGATGCCATGTATGCTGGGAGATAAACGAGTTTCAAGTGAAAACGGGTATTTATGACCCAACGTCATCGCTGGCGTAGTATTTTTGTGATATACTTGTATTTGTTTATTTACTGTTTAATGTTCTTTTTATAGGTTTTTTTTTGGAAAAATGTCATCGACAAATTACTCCGGAAAAAATTTTGGCATTGTTGGAAATCTGATTCAGATAATGAATACTCCCAAGCTGCTTCACACGTGCATATTAACGACTATTTATACCCACGCAGTAATGACAGTGAAAGCGAACAAGAAGCTAGTGATACTGGATTAGATTCAGTTAATATTGATAAGACAAGAGATTATTATATTTGGTAAATTTTGCATTAAGAAGAAGATAAGGGATGTCAAGTATGCCTAACTAAGAAGGATAAGAAAACTGACATGTGTCATGTGTGCCACATTTACATTTGCCTTGACCAATTGATTCCATACTGCAATAATTGCAGCAGTTCTATGGACCTGATTTATGACGAAGAAGACTAATTCGTTTTTGTTTTTATATTATAAAGCTTATTTGATGTCTCTATTAGTACATAAGATTATTGCTTAAGTACTTTAGCAAACATTCAAAATATATACATGTTACGTTTTTAGTTGTTTTTGCATGTGATTGAAAAAGGTTTTAAATATGATTAATATAAGTGTAATGTTTAGACCTTATTGTTATCATTTTTATTTTTCTACCTCAAAACTTAGGTGACATGCTAAATTATTTGAAAAAATATCGATAAATTTCGGGTCAATATGACACGGCGTCATCGTCCTTGTAATTA